GAAGTCTCTTGGAAGAGAGACGAAACGTTTCATTAGAGAAGAACCCGTCCAGAAGACCTATACAATTTTTTTCTTTTTGATATTTTAGTTTTCTTTTTTATTTTATTTTTACATAAAGTGATTATTATTGTGATGCATAAATTACAAAACGAAAAAGGGGGCTTGAAATCATACTTTTGTCCTTTCACAGCACCCTTTTACCGTAATACACGATGTTCGTGTGCAGCTAATTCTAGCGTCATCTGACTCGACCGCGGTGATGCTGCAGCAGCTGTGCAGTCAGTTAGTCAGCGGGTTCGTTCCTTTTTAATCAACCGGCATATGATTCGGCTGGAATAACAGGCGTGTTCTCATGAACCGGACGGAAAGGAGAACGTGTCACTTTTAATTTTGGGCGACCTGTCAGAATATAAACTTAATGTGGGAATAAATTTGCTGTGAAAATATTATTGACATGGCCGAAGGCGCACGCCGCCTCTCGCAGCTGGATCGGAAAGAAGCGCTTTGTCAGCCGGCGTTTAAATGGTGCGGAGCCAGCTGCTGATGCTAATGCCGAAATGAGGGGAGCTGCTTCTACACTGTGCGTCGTGTGGCACGTAATCTTTTAGGAAGTCAAACAACTGACAAGACCGGAGGACGTGCATATGGCTCCACCTAAAAGCCTTTTACCTGTACAAATGGGTGAAAGTGGGATCCTCTTCTTCATGCTGGCGGATGTGGATCGTCGAGTCGGCACTAACGGACGCGATGCTAGCTCGCTAGCTTGCTCTTTGATGTTTGTTCCTTGAATCCTTCCAGACAGCGTCGAGGATACATTTTCAGCTGCGACGTGTAAACTCCGGAGCTCTATTTTTTTTAACCGCTGCTGAGCAGGATGGACTCTGTCAACTTTAAAAAGTGGAGATATCCTTACTACTACAATGGTTAGCTAACTTTTTAAAAAAAAAAAAAAAGTCGCTTTCAGCCAAAATTAATCTAGATAATTAAGATGACACCGGACTGAATACGCTCTTTCAGCGGTACGCAGTCTGTCAACGATAAACCAAACCAGCTGAGGTTGTTACGAAACTCTTAAACTGGAAGTAATGTCAAACTTTTTTGTGTTTATTTGTTCTTTTAAGAGTACAAAGTTTCACACACCGGTAGCTTCATAGTTATTTCGCCTGTACCAATACAACTTTGTGTGCTTCCTCTCATTTCTTTTAGCTAATGCCCGGTTGAAAGGTGCGTAGTTAGCGCAGCAATCCACTGAAGGTTTTAGCTCCTAACAGCCAAAGATGCGTCTCTCGTCATTTATGGCCTTGTTCAGGCCCGCTTTACCCCTGATCCTGGGACTGTCTCTGGGATGCAGTCTCAGCCTCCTGATGGTGTCCTGGACCCAAGGGGACACGGACGACCCCTGCAGAGATGAGCTGACCCAGGGCAGGCTGTTCTTGGGCAGAGGGGATGCCCAGAGGGATGCAGCTGGAGAGGAAGACTTCCAGCCGCGGATAYTACCGTATCACAAGGACCCAAACAAGGCCCACAAGAAAGTCCTCAGGTGAGTGTGGAGGGTGTATCAGGTGACCTTTGACCTTGTTTATAATACACTCCAGATCAAAATCTTAAGACAAGTCAAAAAAGTGCAAGAATTTGCATTTTGCACTATTGGATCTTAAGAAGGTTCTAAGTAGAGCTTCCCAATGTTAAAAGAAGG